GCCGTAAAGCAAGAAGAAGAAGAAGATGTGTCACGCGCCGGCTGTTGAGGACGCGCTCAGGACAGTTCAGACATTGCAGTGCATCAGAGGTAAAAAACGATATAAATACTGTTCAGTTTCTTGCACAGACCGATCGTTTCGTGTCTTTACACATCAATGTATCGTCACGAGCCGCAGGTTTTAATTTGGTTTTGTTTGTGTATGTTTTTTTTTACTCTCAAAGCCGTGATTCCCATTCACTTCCATTATAAGACAAACTGCAACGGTTTGAGTTAAAAAATCTTCGTTTGTGTTCTACTGAAGAAACAAAGTCACCTACATCTTGGATGCCCTGGGGGTAAGCAGATAAACATCAAATTTTCATTTTTGGGTGAACTATCCCTTTAATGTGATGTGAAAATTTGCTGTAGGGCCTCAGTACAGGCAACATGTGAACTAAACATCTTTCTCTCTTTACTACTAGTTATATCACAAAAACAAACATGCAATAAACATCAGAAGGTATGTTGAAAGAAACAGTACAACTTAATGAAATTAAGTGTTTCAATGTTAATCAGTGTTTCAACCGTAGAAAGACCTAATGTTATATTTATCTCAGGTAAGCCAGACAATGTCCGTAATTCATTGGAAAAAAAAGCTCTATTAAAAAAATAACTCTAGAGAGGAGCATTTTCCTAAATATAAGCAGTATATGCTCATTACATATGCATTAAATTTGTACTTCACCTGCTGTCTTCATGAAAACAAGTTTTACAGCCACCATTTAAATGGTTATATTTCAACAACAAATTTGAGTAGAAACATAATTATATAATTAAAACATTGATATAAAAATTTGTTAAACCTTGCCTTACGTGCAATTTAAATGTTTATATACAACTTATATACAATGTTTTTATTTGAGTGTTGATTATTAAATAAGTTACTTGATTGATTGTTATTATTATTATTTTATTATTATTGGCTGGCTGAATTAATACATTTTTGTTTCAGTGTTTCTAAAAAACAATATGCATCACTTCTCAGAATTGCTCATAGATCTTCTGATATAAACCTGTCAAATTAGAGCTTGCAGTTTTGATAAAGCACTTGCCACTTTTCCATGCAGTACGCAGTGAGGAGAATTTAAACAGTCCATCTTCTCATTTCCGTGTTTTGTCATCCTTATGTTCCTGTTGTGTGTGTCATGTACAGCTCTATGACACCCGGCCTCGGTTCTCACATATTCATCATAATGCCTGTTTGCTGTCAGATGGCGGGGTCTGTCTGCTGCACAGAACCTAGTCTGAGACCGGATGTGAACTGTCATGGGAGACCAGAACATTATTATGGTATAGTTGCTCTGATGTAGCGACACAAAACAGAGCCCTGAGGAGCAGGTGCAGTGAAGACGGATGTTATGACATCAATGTCATGTCAGAGGAAAGCCAGAGTCCAGAGAATGATGAAAACCAAACAGTGCTGCTTCTCTCGAGATGTTCAGCATCACAGGTCCTCTCTGATCACATTTGGGCTGAAATGATTAGTCGACATTATCAACAACATTGACAATAAAAAATTGTCGACAGATATTTTTGTTGTTGATCTCATGTGACATAATGTAAGGGCCTGCA